CAACTTTACACATATGAAGTAGATGTTTTATATATATAAACGCGAAACCTAATGAGTAAAAGTCTCTAGGAACTGAGGTTGTGCAGGCTGTGCAGCCTGCGCAGTAGATTCAAAAAAACCTCGATTTTCCCATCTCTATTCTTGAATACATAATCGTGACTATATAAATTGTTACAATACTCAATTGAAGGCCTAAAGCCCCGATCTTTGAATCTTGCGCGCCAATATCATATCGGCTAGACGATATCTGTAATTATACCTGCGCTCTCATAACACTAAATATTACCATAAATTTTATGAAATTATTTTGAAAATTGTTTTACAAACTAAGATGTCTGTTAATTAGAAATTTCCACGCTATCTATCGGAATGCTAATGGCCATTTTCGATAATTCTATCATTATCTCTTGTATGTTAATGGGCTTTGAAGCGTACTTATTTTGATCTGAATTTTTTTGTATGATATTTGGTAATTTTTTATCCATCTTATCAGCTTCTATTAACTGCTTATCAGCATCTAAGAATTGTTTTTTAATTATTCTTTCATTGCTTCCATGCGCAAGTTCTTCGATCCAATAGGTAATTATCGCATTAATACCTATAGCAGTAGGTCTTTCTTTTGGATCTGATTCCATGCATTGCTTAGCTAATTCGACGTAACATTCGGGAGTCACAGGAGGGAATTTTGGTCGCAATCCAAAACAAAATTTTGTAGCTAAATCATCATTAAATTCGTAATCCACAAAAACTTCTTCTCCCGTTAATATTTCCCACATGATTATACCGAATGAATAGATATCTGCTGCTTGTGTAGATGGTTTACCTGATAATACCTCTGGTGCAATATAAGGTAAAATTCCAATAATTTCATTGTCGTTTTTAGCAGGTGATGTAAGACCTAAGTCGGCAATATACGCATTATCTAAATCGTCTTGTAAGATGTTACCACTATGCAAATCTTTGTGAATATGTTCTTGTGAATGAATAGCTTCAAGATCAGATGCTATACAACTTAATAAATTTAACTTTTTTTCCCATTTCATTTGCGATACTTCGCGAAGATTATTACGCAAAGAACCTTTAGCCGCATGTTGTAGAATAAGGATGTAATTCCCCGAATTATCTCTTGATAGCCCGTAGCACTTTAAGAATGATGGATTTTTATACCCGATCTCACAAAACGCTTTCAACTTTAAAAAAAAATGTTAATCATGAATTTAGACGTTAAATAAACTTGAAAAATTTACCTCATCAAAAAAACCCTGATCGCGAATTATTTTAAATGCGAATAAATACTTATTGGTGAATTTCTTATAATCAATTCTGCAATTAGCACGATAAACGGTTGCGAAACCTCCTTTTCCAATTTCTTTAATACCTTCAAGTTTATCATATGGAATCCATAATAGTTGATATTTCTCATCATTTAATATTTTTTTAACATTGTCATCAACACCAGAATAAGAGAATTTCTTTATCTCTTTTCAAAATTAAATTATTAAAAAAAAGAAATAAAAAAAAAAGGGGTTGAGTCCCATAGCTTAGTTGTTAAGCTCTCATCCCCCCACAGACAAGGTCAACGGTTCGAGTCTGGCTGGAG